CCTTCCTTCCTTCCTTCCTTCCTTCCTTCCTTCCTTCCTTCCTTCCTCTCAGCCATTCCAAGGAACTCCTACATCACCTCCCTTGGCAAACCATTGGGTGGTTAAATTATATTTTTCCTCTGTTCTGTTGATGCTGGGCCAAATTAAAGAGGGAAAGCTACAGGGCCTTATTGTTGTTGGGAAATGTGACCAAGGATTGCCTTTATCAGCTTCCTGCATCCTATACTTCCATTCCTGCTGCTTTAAGCCTTGACAGCTGGGCTAAATCTTGAATAGGATGCCAAATGGTGGGATGTCAGAACCTCTGAGAAGTTCTCTTTTCCTCTCTTGCTTTTCTTCTGTTGGTGCTAGCAGATGTCAAAACCCTGCTTCTTTGAAACTGTGCCCAAACACATAGGCATGTTTTCTTAGTTACATGCATGATTGCTTCTCATAAAGGGAAGAAGTCCTTCTTCAACAGAGAAAATTAATGTATCAGGAAGAGCTTGAATCCTTCTCTCAACATGCTGGGTTTCTACATGCACAGGATCTTGAAAATAAAATAGGCTTGTTCTTTGCAGACCTTTGATAGAATGGTCTTACCAGTGCTGAGTTCTGAGATTGTAATTTAATTGCAATTTACTTTGTGGAAAAGGGTAGTATGTTTTGGAGGCAAGGGTTTCAATGTCTAGGGCCAATGTTTGAAGAAAGATTCTTCCTCAGATAGGCTGAAATAAAAAATCTATGATGGAGGTGGATGGGAAAGGACCCTTGAAGAAAATCTGCTATTCATATATTCAGTATCCACTTCGCAGGGAATGAAAAAAAGGCAGTCTGTGTTATGTGTTTGTGCATATTTGCACGTATTAAATAAGGCCGTCTTCTTTCTTTTTTTCTTTAGCCCATGAGAAGAGAAATTGTATTTATATCAAGGCCTCAGAGGCATATAAAATTTATTAGGGTTTATTCATTTTTATAAACAAAATCCCTGTCATGAATTTTTGATGGAAAAGGAGACAGTCATTTTGAGGGATGGAAAAAATGGGGTGTGGAGTGGATTGTATGTTTTCCATTCTATCACTGAAATCCTGAAAATGAGGTAAGGTTGTGGATCAGTTAGATGACAAAACATTGGGAACATATTAAAAAAAAATATCCTTAAAAGCTGGTTTTTAAAATGGGAAGGCTGATGTGTGTGAGCGGGAAGCTAGCAACCTGCTGCTGTGTTGATTTATTTCTGGAGTGTAGTAAAACCCCCTTAGAGGCATCAGATATAACAAGGTAAATAACACATCAAATCTCCCCTCTTGCCAATTGTGTGTGCATGCCAGCTGCAGATGTCTAGGGTTAGGGAACAAAGTACGCAGCATTAAATATATACAAGCTTCCATCCATGTGGAGGCAGGCAGCAAAGAGTTCTAAGATTTGGGCCATCAAATAAGTAAATAAATAAATAGTCTTTGGAAAGACACAGAAAGAATTAGCAGTTGTTTTGAATCCTTCCAAGTTATATGCTTAAGGGACAGGGTGATCTGTCCTTTGGATCAACATGAAATCCAGTAGCAAAAGGAGGTTCTTTCTCACAAAATCCTAGAAAGGTGTCCAGCGGAAAGTTTCGGATATGGAAGCTAGGGATGCCAATGTTTTACCCCCCTCTCTGTCTTTTTACAGATGTGTCATTTGAAAAATCAGGAAAGGAAAAAAGACCCAAATGTTACTTGTAGCCTCTTTTCCTTCCTGGTAGCACTTCTTGGAGCAATACATGAACTATTCTCCCAGGGAGGTTGGTTAGACTGGGAAGTCAATCTCAGAAGATGACACAGGCTGGCCACTTCCTCTTTATATTTAATTTTTTTTTTTACATGGACCCAGACCAAGAATCCAGAAGAGAGTAGGAAGTTTGAGCAGGGAGAATTAGAACTTAGGGCAAAGTGCATGATGTTTGAGGACAGAGGGCCATGGAGTCCTAAGCTTTGGTTGCAGATCCCCTTAAAATAGCTTTGTAGCGGAAGAAGATCAGTAGATACATGCACAATAATCTATTCACTGGATATTTAATTAGCTTGGTTTAAGTTAGTTTTTGGCCTAAACTGGTTAACTTTCAGAGCACCCCCCCCCCAAATTGAATTAGCCACAATAGCTGGTTTCATATACTACTATTACTATGAAAAAGGAAACAAACTGTGTTATGGCTCTAACAGCATAAAGGATATTAAATGACAAAGAATTTCTAGACCACCATATTTGGCCTGCAAGTTCCCATTACCCTAATTACATTTTCAATCATCTGAGATTATTGGATTTGTAGTCCAACAACATCTGGAGAGCCTTAAGTTCCCCACCGCTGACCTTCTGCAAAAGAATTAGAAAATGTACAGTGTATCAGAAAAATATGTGATAGGTTTAGGTGTTTCTATATGGCCAGCTTGCCTTTGTATAATTACTCCACTGGAACTCATGTATTTTATTTCATGCTACCTCAATGATTCTACACACTTTGTTCCACACAATTACCCACATCTATAGTTTAGGCACATGTGACAGATGCACTCATTCTTTCTGTTTACCGTCTTTTTGAGGATGTTGATTCCAAGTTTCTTGTGTGTCTAATTACACTTGGCCAATGAAGAGAATTCTATTCTATTCTATTCTATTCTATTCTATTCTATTCTATTCTAT